GAGCAGCGAACACCGCACCACAGCAGAAACAGACGCAGCGAGCATCTTGTGCGGAAAATGGGCACGGCACCACAGCGGGGCGACACATTCAGCCAGCATCGTGTGTAAATAATAGGACGTGAGGGCCCCCCCAAAAAAAAGAAGGACCCCCCAAAAAAAAGGGACCGAAATAAAACTCCACCCTAAATATAGTTTGGATTATTTCTCTATTTTTCAATCTAACTTTTCAATATCATCCAACAAAACTTCTGACCAGGATGTTGCAGCGTAGCTGGGATCCCCACATCTCAATTTTGGTCTGGGGCGGAGAAGATGTGTCGTAGTAGAGCTGGTCGGTTCTGCTTGGGGCCCCACATTCAGGTTCACGCCGGCGTCTATGGAAGTTGTCCCTGCCAATGAGTACGAGCGCTTCTTCACTGTGTGTATGATCCTCTGTGGTATGCTTATCTTCTCGTCTTTCGTATCTGCAATAACCAGTGCGATGAACCAGCTGCGAAATCTCAACAGCCACTTGACTGCACAGCTTTCGGTGCCAGGGTGCTTAGGTCTCCACGGTTTGGATCCTGAGGTTGGCGTCACGAACAGGAATCCCTTCTGCGACGCTACCTTCAAGAAAATGAAGTCAGCCCATCGCTGACTGCCCGCATCCACAACTGCTTGCAGAAAGCTTTGTGGCCGGGCCGGACGAATTCGCGAAGTGGGCCAGTACAGCAAGCAACAGCACATCATCGCCTTGAGGATCGGATGTGTTGGCGCTTGGCACTGGAGTCGATTGCATCAGCCAAGGCAGCGATCACGCCGCCGAGTACATGTGGACGAGATCCGGATATTTCAGCAGCTGCCATTGAGCCTGAAGTAGCTTGACTGCTGTCCAATTCAGGTGCCATTTTTTCTCGTTTGAAGCGGAGCGGCTTGTCAAACTCAGCATGCTTGCATGCGCCAGGATGAGTAGGTACAGCAGGGTCGGGGTGGCGGGGTGCCGGGTGGTGCGTGGTGGGTGGTGGGTGGTGGGTGGTGGGTGGTGGGTGGTGGGTGGAGTGACAGGGTCAGGTGGGTGGGGTGCCGGGGTGGGAGGTGCGTGGAACGTGCGTTTGTAAGGTTGGTTTTGGTTTCAAGGGCTTGACTTAGCTCGTGATTCCGAACGATATTCTCAGAAACACAAACAAAGCAAGGGGACTGGCTGTCCGCGCAAGTGCATTCCAACGAAGAGGCTTGCATCGGACACTGATTTCAGGTCTGATCAACCGGACATACCTGCTTTCCCGAAGTCGTTTCACACTGTGGGCAGCTGCCTGCAAGCTTTGAGATCTTCGGTAAGCGAAGCTGAGTTGATTGTCGTCCTCTGAGCGCGCAGGTTTCATTTTTGTTATGTTTTGCAGTGTTTCTCACCCACTGTGCGAGAACCGAGACAGCTTTGCCGCAACGAGGCCGTCCCACGCCAAAACAAAAGCCCCCGCTGCCTGCATTTGCGGGACACCGTCATCAGGCCAAAAGCCGTATTGCAAAAAATTTTCAGCACAGGCTTCATAGATGAAATAACACTCCGAAATTTGGAGAAAAGATGATGAACAAGGTTCAGCTTCACAAAGAGATGAATGCAGAGAAGGGATCTGACAGCTGCTTTCACGGTGTGTGTGTGTGTGTGAGCGTGTGAGAACACTTAACTTTACGGGTCCTGGTGAAACAGAAGGGGGTTCCATGGGAGTGCGCACCTGATTTGTGGCTTGATTCAGGACGTCATCGAAAGCAGATTCGCTCCCCGAGCTTTAGGCTCATGCTCTGTGTTGCTGACCTGTTTCTGACGATCCTGGAACTTCCGGTATCGCTTTCTGCCACGGAGATCCTGGTGGTGCCCCGCAGGGAACAGGCCGCGGGGCCGCGGGGGGTCGTCCTTGACGTTGGTTTGGTTGGGTGATGAAGGGCGATGAGATGTGTGCTCCTACATCCGCCTACAATGTGGGCACCTCGAATCACCTTGTCACCTTGATGTTCTCGACTGGCAACAAGCTGAACCTAATCCCGGAATGGTCAAGGGTTGCACGAAGAGACGTCGTGCATTCGGCGTTGTGACGAGTAGTTGGTCAGAATGAATCTTAGCCGTTTTAGCAGGTGTCTCCAATTCAGTGATCCTGCGAGCGAGGGGGATCTGCAGGCTGGTGCTTTCACTCACACTTAGATCGCTAGATTCAGTACACTTGCGCCCAGGGGAGCGCAGCTTCATAATCTACATGGGAGAAGGATGCGTTGGTGCGGGTCACGCAGGTAAGCGAGCCATAAAGGTGCAAGTGCCGCAAAAGAAAGCCAGCATCATGAGCAGCACATGCCCAAAACTCGCACCAGAAAGCCAACCCTTCGTTTCTCCAGAGTTCCCTCTTTGTCAACCTCATCCAAAACTTTTCCAAAACGGGTCCCGGTTGGCACCTGCATTTTCCCAGCAGAGCATTGGAGATGGCTCGAAAAGAACCACGGTTTGGGTCCACTTGGATTGACAGGCTTAAGACTGTGTTTCTGTTTCATGCCATGGTGCTATGTGCCCTTTGCGTGTGTGTTTGTGTATGTGAGCTTCGCACAATGGTTGTGATTCTGGATCGAAGTCTCTGGCACAGACTGTAGTGTGACCGACAGTGACCCTGGGCCTGGAATTTGAAAGCCGGGCAGTCGCTTCAGTTTTTCAGCTGCCATCTCTCCCCTCAAAGGCTGTTGACAGGTTCACTCCTTGCTCATGGACTTGGATATTGCGATTCTGCGCCCAATGCGGCCTGCCTGCTTCCAAAAGGATGGGCGAAGAACTAAGTAACACGGCTTCTGGACTAATCTGTCCAACTGTCCCACGAAGCTGAGTACCAGAACAGGATGCCTGGACTGATCATCCAGGCATACCTGCATCGAGTTTGCGATGTCGTTCGTTACTGTGGTGTGTATGGTTGCGGCAGTCGAATACTATTACTGCGAGTTTGTATGGCTGGGGCCATGCGGGGAACCCGACAGTGTGACAAGCACGACTGGTGACCATTGTGTCGGGACTCTGGACCGGTCAATCCGCTTTGCTGTGATTGCAAGTGACGTCGTATACGGTCGCTGTACCTGGTTTTACGTAGTCTCTGTTTCGTTGTTGTTCATTACATTCTATCGACACCGGGCTCAGCCTAGAACCCCATCTGTCTGTGAGCGAACGCCTCGTTTGAAGCCAGGCCGGGGACTGGGCCAAATATTCAGGAACGCGCAGGATTGACTTTTCGCTGCTGCAGATGCATTGTCCAAGGTTTGAACTTACCAGTGAAATTTACTCGCCAACATTGGGAGGCTTGGCCTGCATATACTCGAGATTTTGCAGTAAGTCCTTCCCTGTCTTGTTGTTCACCGTGGCCCGGTGTTGGAAGCAACCACGCAAGCTCGGCACAGCTAAGGAAGACACCCATTTTTCAATTTCTGCCATAGCTGCCTGCCTTCGGAATCGAGGAAAATCTACAGCAGCCTGTTTCCATAGCACTAGTCCATGATGGTGACGATTCGGGTTTTCGTGCCGCCAGATCTGATAAACTTGCATGAGACCTGAGGCAATGGAGTTTCCCAGAAATATTTGGTGATGTCGCAGGAGAGATGCCTCCTTATGCTGTTGCCCGATGTTCTTTTGTTGGCACTTCGTAACTACTTACTCGTATCAAGTCTTGCAATCACGAATCGCGTTAATGTGGGCGTTGCAACTGTGGAACTGTGCTTGCTCAAGCTTGTGGCATGCAGGTTTTTGTACTAAACTGCTGAAGCCATTCCGGTTTTCCAGGTTTCCATCTGATGTTCGTGAAATGTTCAGCACAGATGAAACCGCTGCGGGAGACTTCGGGTGCTGAGAGGAGCTGCTGACCACGGGTGAGGCTGGCAAGCACATGTATTTTCTCCAAACTGGCACTTTGAATTACAAGCAAGAAAATGAGCCGGAGCTCCTTGGCTGAGCATCTTAGCAGTGCGAGAGCCAGCATGTGACCGGGACGGTCTATTATCGTCCGAGCCAGCACCAGGTATAGAACCAAAGCCGAACAGCTTTGGTTGGTTGAAGCTGCCGTATGGTTAAAGTGGATACATGTGGGAACTGCTGAAAGCATCACGCACTGCGAGCTTCTGGGCTTGGACGTTGGCAAAGTGCAGGACAGCAGCTTTCCTTGTTCGGCTCATGGCCAGACTACATCGTCGTATCGAACGCAGTATGACCCTCGCAAGTAGGTCGGTCCCAGTCGTCGCGTCAGCCTCACCAGAACCTTACCTGTGGGCAGTTCCGCAGATGCCGATTCAGCTGTCAGCAGGATGTTCTCAAAGACGAGGCCACGGCACCTTGGAATGCATCCATCTGCTGCTGAAGGAGGTGTTTCTTCCGCTTTAAACTTGTGCGATTCGTGCGGGATGAGGTGGCGACCTATGCAAGGAAATTTTGGAGGTATTTCTCGGAGAATCCCGGTCTTCTCTCAGACGTTTGGATGGGCGACCCCGATGATGCTGCTTCCTTCAATTAAGACTGACACAGTGGACCCTGCTCTATGCCACAGTGCCTGCAAGTGCATCGGGTGGCCCCAATCCAGGACGAGTCACCGCATCACTGGGCTGCAAGTGCCTTCAGCCGTGCCGAAGAAGTTATGGGCCGCAGTGCCTCGAAGCGAAAGTGTGCACATCATGCAATTTTATAGGCTCCCGATGTTCGAGGAGTGCAGATGCTTTATGGGGGATTGCAGTGAAGGGGTTCTGCTTCTTGTGTGGAGCAGAGCTTGCCTTACCTTGGTAATCCTGTGCTCCGCTTGGTGTTTCTGACCTGTTTGTACCAGAACGAATGCCTTTCCAGGCATTCAGCCGGAGCCGCTAAGCCCCGTCTTTACAAGGCTGGGATGCACTTCAGGCTGCTCAGGCTATCCCCAGTGAAACGGGACGACGGTGATTTGTTGCCCTCGCTCGCCTGTGTGCTTGGTACACAGGTTCCTTGACAGACTCCGTCGGGCGAGCAACGGCATGCTGCGCCGTTTCTCTGTGGCGAGCATCGCAGCACTCTTACACCGGTTTGGAACTCGCCACTTCTCACCTGATCTAGCAGTTAGTTGAGTGAGGATGTTGACGATGCTGGACCTGCAGTCGCTGGCCCTGGAAAGCTGCCGCCGCAGCTGCAGGCGCCAAGTCGGACACAGTTGGCAAATGCTGTTGGGATTTGTTCACCTTCTTTATATGGAAGCCTGGCCGTATGACCGAGCAAACTGCTGTCAATAATCCCTTCCCGCCAGTGTGCCTTATCCTTTCCTGGCTTTCTTGTCAACCTGTGCTTTGCCCGCATCGCCATCGTCCTCTGAATCTCAGTCCGCTTGAGTCTTCGGCCGCGGTAGTTGAATATCAAGAAATTCGGGCGGCTTTGGGCGTTAGGCAGCTGTCAGGCCAGCCAGCTCAGCTCGATGGTTGAAAGCGCGATTCAGGAAGCCAACCTCCGAAAAACCAAGCCCCTTGAATACTGGTAGTGGCCGAGGAGGAGGACTACTACTTTACTACGAGTACAACCACAACATACCACCACCACCACGACGACTACAACTATTACTACTACCACCACCACCACCACGACGACGACGACGACGACTACTACTACTACTGTTTCTTCTGCTGCTTCTGCTACTGCTACTGCTACTACTACTCCTGCTGCTATTGCTACTGCTACTGCTCCTGCCACTGCTACTGCTGCTGCTACGGTTACTGCTACTGCTACTGCTACTACTACTACTACTACTACTACTACTACGACTACGACGACGACGACGACGACTACTACTACTATAACTATTGCTGCTACTGCTACTGCTGCTACTGCTACTGCTGCTACTGCTACTGCTGCTACTGCTACTGCTGCTACTGCTGCTGCTACAACGACTGCTGCTACCACTACTGCTACTACTACTACTACTACTACTACTACCACTACTCAACTACTACTATTACTGCTGCTGCTGCTGCTACTACTACTACTACTACTCCTCCTCCTACACGGCTGCTGCTGCTG